AGGTTATCTACAAATTCAATATGATACCTATCAATATCCCAACCTCATTTTTCATGGAAATAGAAGAAGCAATCCAAAAATTTGTATGGAACAATAAAGATCCTGAATAGCAAAAACGATCCTTAACAGAAAGAACAGCACTGGAGGAATATCAATTCCAAACTTCAAACTCTACTACAAAGCCATAGTAATAAAAACAGCTTGGTACTGGCACAAGAAGAGACCTGAGGACCAAAGGAATAGAACTAAAGACCCAGAAATGAGTACACAGACCTATAGCCACCTAATCTTCCATAAGAGAGCTAAAAAAATAGAACGGAAGAAAGACAGCCTCTTCAGTAAATGGTGCTGGAAAAATTGGTTAAACACCTGTAGAAAACTAAAGCTAGATCCCCAAATATCACCCTGAACCAGAATCAACTCCAAATGGATCAAAGACCTCGGAGTCAAAGCAGACACTCTGAAAACATTACAGGAAGGAATATGAGAAACTCTAGGTCTCCTTGCCACAGGCTGAAATTTTCTTAATAGAGACCCAGAAACACAACAAATCAAAGAAGGGTTGGACAAATGGGATTATGAAGTTGCAGAGTTTCTGCATGGCAAAGGACATAGCTAGCAAGATCAACAGAAAGCCCATAGACTGGGAGAAGATCTTCACTAGCCATACAACAGACGAGGGTCTCATATCTAAAAGATACTTAGAACTCAAAAACTAAATCCCTCAACAACAAATCCTCAAAGTAACAACCGCTATTTATAAGTGGGATAAAGACTTAAAGGGAGATTTCTTTGAAGAGGAAATAAGAATGGCCAATAGACACATGAAGAAATGCTCAACCTCTCTAGCCATAAAAGAAATGCAAATCAAAACAACATTGAGATTCCACCTCACCCCAGGTAGAATGGCTATAGTCAAGAAATCTAGTAACAACAGACTCTGGAGGGGATATGGCCAAAAGGGAACCCTACTACTGCATTATTGGTGGAACTGTAAACTTGTTCAACTACTCTGGAAAGCAGTATGGAGGTTCCTCAAAAGACTCCACACAGAGCTCCCTGGGACCCAGAAATCCCACTTCTGGGCATTTACCCAAAGGATAACAACAACAACAAAAAAGCTATACTAAAGCTACCAGCACAGCTATGTTTATTGCAGCATTATTCATCATAGCTAAGATATGGAACCAACCCAGATGCCCCTCAGTAGATGAATGGATCAAGAAAATGTGAGTTAGATACACACACACACACACACACACACACACACACACACACACACACACACACACACACACACACTGGAAATCTATGCCTCCATCAGAAAGAATGACATTGCCCCATTTGTTAGGAAATGGAAAGACTTGGGAAAAAATTATATTAAGTGAAGTAAGCCAGACTCAAAGAAACATAGATCCCATGGTTTCCCTTATCTGCTATAACTAGTATATGTCTAGGACAAGCAGAAATCAAAAGCTATGTACATAAGACCATATAACCTGATCCTAAGCGAAATGAACCCCAAGATAGAGACACAAGAGGTTTTATCTTTTTTGCTATTCTTTTTATTGTACTTATATGTGATTTTTTGTTTCTTTTGTATGTTCTTCCCCCATGGTACAATCCCTGTTTTCACTATATTTGATTCTGCTGCCCTGCATCTTGTAAATACATTTTTCTACGTAATGCATATTTATGCACAAAAAATACATTTTCTAATTTGGGGAGGGGAGGGGAAATAACAAAATGCTTAAATAAGGATACTGGATGACCCATTGTAAAAGGATGGTAGGGGAAAAATAAAGGAGGGTGTAACAAGGCTTGATAGGAAATGGACTCATTACCTTGATCATGTAATTGCAACCCCTCCATTCAGTATCTTTATAATAAATATATATATATATATAAAGAAAAAAGTAGCTAGAAAAATTTTCCAGGCAGCTGCACAAATGTCTCCAGCTGTAAAGAGAGAGGGAGAATGGAAAAGGTACAAAGTAATTGCAAGTTAGCTATAGAGACAAAGAACAAGCAAGTGTTACTTGGGTTAGTAAGAAATAGACACAGGGCTGGGAAGGTGGCTCAGTGGTAGAGCACTTGCCTTGCATGCCTGAGGCCCTGGGTTCGATTCCTCAGAACCACATAAGCAAAAAGAAAAAAGCCGGAAGTGGCTTGTGGCTCAAGTGGTAGAGTGCTACCTTGAGCTGAAGAGCTGAGGGATAGTGCCCAGGCCCAGAGTTCAGGCCCTATGACCCGGACTCAAAATAAATAAATAAATAAAATAGACACATTTCAGTTACAGAATAATGAATTAAATAATCAAAGACCAAGAATTTCCTGTGAATACCAGTAAGAGTCCTGACAAAAAGTAGCAGATATTTTTTTACCACTTGAGCCACAGCTCTACTACCAGAGTTTTAGTATTTTATTGGTGATAAGAGTCTCATAACTTTCCTGCCTGGGCTGGCTTCCAGCAATGATTCTCAGATCTCAGCCTCCTGACTAGCTAGGATTATAAGTGTGAGCCACTGGCACCCAACTTATATAGTAACTATGTTTATGACAAATATGCCAATATTATCTCTTCCCATCCCCTTCTCTCCCTTCCACTCCTGTCCCATTTTCTTCTCCCCCATATATTCACACACAAATAATCTCTCCAATCTCTTTTGTTTTGCATCTCTTCTCTCTCTCCTTTTTCTCCTTTCCTTTTTCAGCACATCCCCTCCCCACCCCCAACCTCCTATTTCTATCCTTCTCTTCCCCCTCTCTGCCATTTCCACTCCACTTTCTTTCAATCAAGATTTTGGTACCTAAAAAAGAAAAATATGGAAACATGCTCTCTTTTTTCTGAGTTGATTTGTCTGTACAAAATAATACATGAAGCGTTATGATTTGAGAGTGTGTAAAATACCGTTCAATTTTTTTACCTACTAAATAGAATTACTCATCTGTGTTTGCTCCATACTGCTATATTTATTTCCTATCCCTTCTGCACCAAATCATAAACACATATGAATTTATTATCTTACAGTTCTGGAGGTTATAAGTCTGAAATGAGTTATTAGGCTAATTCAGTTGCTAGACCAAAATCAAGCTGTTGTAGAACTGAATTAGAGGTTCTGGTGATGAATTCTTTCCTTGTTAGTTCCCAGCTTCTAGAGGTTGTCCGTATTACTTGGTTGGGGGCACCTTTCTCAAAGCTAGCAACAGCAGCTGAGTTTTCCCATAATACACCCCTCTCCCTCTGCCTTGCTCCCTGGTTTACAACTGACAATCCTGGCAATGACAGTGTACTACCCAGTAATCCCAGACAATCTCTTAAGGACAGCTAATGAGTGTGATTCCATCTTTAACCTTAACTCTCTTTCATCCTATAGCATGACATGTTGGCAGGTTCTCAGGATTAGAATCTATATGTGCTGGGGCATTCGTCTGTCCATTTCAATTGCTTAACAACAGCTGGAAATAGTAACCATTTATTTGTTTGTTTGTGCCCGCCCTGGGCCTTAAACTTGGGGCCTAGATGCTGTACCTGAGCTTTGTGTCACGGCTAGCGCTCTACCACTTGAACTACAGCTCCACCTCTGGCTTTTTGGTGGTTAATCAGAAATAACTATCTCATGGGGTTTTCTTTCCCTGGCTGACTTCAAACGGCAATTCTTAGATATTACCCTCTTGAGTAGCTAGAATTATAAGCATGAGACACCACTGGTGCCCAGCTAGTAGTAAAAGTTTTAATGACAAATGATTGTCATGGTATATGGTGTGATTCTAAAGGGAAAAATTATTCGAAGCTCTTAAGTTAGCTAATATTTTTACATTTTTATTTTGTTTTTGTGCCCTTTCTTATCCAGAATCTGAGACAACTAATATGGTATGAAACCAGGGATATTTAAATTCAAACATGAAAATAGTTAAGGCAAGAAAATGTCAAATTCCCACCCCAACACGGGAGGAAAGAAATAGCTAGAAATTGAGATAGCAGCGCTTGGTATGGTGATGCACACCCATAATCCCAGCATTTGGAAGCTGAGGCAGGAAGATCACAAATTCAAGGCCAGTCTGGGTTACATAGAGTGACATATTATACTATTTGTAAAGAAATGGAAAGACCTGGGGAAAATTATATTAAGTGAAGTAAGTTAGGCCCCAAGAGACAGAGGATGAATGTTTTCCCTTCTATGTGGAAGCTAGATTTAGCTTATAAACTTTTAAGTAAATACATTGGGTAGTACGCAAGTGTGTACGAAGGTCTTAACTGAAATACTGTAGATTCAAAGGAGACCTCAATTAGCGTAATTTGTTAGAAAAGCAAAGTCAAAGTTCAGCAAAGTAAAACACCAGGACAGAGATACACAAAAGGGGTAGACTGGGGTCAAAGGGAAAAGGGTAGAGAAGAGGGCAAGAATTCAGTAAAGAATCCAGTGTAGCCAAGCACAGGTAGCTCATGCCTATAATCCTAACTATTTAAGAAGCTGAGATGTAAGGATGGTGTTTCAAAGCCAAACTGGTCAGGAAAGTCCATGAGATTCTTATCTGCACTTTAACATCAAAAAGCTGGAAGTGGGGCTGTGGCTCAAGTGGTAGAGGGCTAGTCTTGAATACAGCAAGTTCAGAGACAGCGCCCAGGCTCTGAGTTCAAGCCCCAGGACTGGAACAAAAAATAAATAAATAAAAATAATTTAATGTGCATCCTACAAAATTAAGAAGAGCGAATGAAGGGCAATATGGGGAGGGAGGAATAAGAATGTTGAAAGGGGAGACATTGATCAAGAAGCACTGCATTCATTAACTGCTTTGTTAAAATGCTAACTCCTTCCCCCTGTTCATCACCTCTACAATAAGTTAAAAAAAGTGACAGCTCCTTTGTACAACTACTTAAAGATAAAAAACAAACAAATAAATGGAAAGGAAAGGAAAAGTAAGGAGATAAGAAGAGAAAAAAAATTGAGCTAGCAAAATGTGGACGTGTAGTTAGTGGGGGGTTAAAGTACGGGAACCTGCACAGCCTGGCCTCCCAGGGACCGATCCAACTGAACAGTGAGGAATGCAGACGTGGTCAGTTCATCTCTTGTGGCATTGGCTCCTTGCCTAGAGGAAGAATAGGAAAGTCAATGAGCTTGTACTCGTGTTTTAAGATTTTCTCACATAAGCATTTCAAAAAGAGACTTACGTTAGGAAAGGTCAAGACAACACCAACTTAAACTTGGGAAGAGGAAAGAATATTGAACCAGGCTAGAATCAGCCTCTGAGACACGGTGAGGAGATCCAGAGCTAAGCATTGAAATTAGGTCTAATAATGACATCAATACTGCCTCTTCCCATCCCCTTTTCTCCCTCCCCATCCTGTCCTGTCTCCTTCTTCCTAACCTCTCACACGCACAGATACACACACACGCGCACACACACACTCAAACTCTTTCCCATCCCTTTTCTTCCTCTTCTCCTTTATCTCCCCTTCTTTCTCTTTTCCTTTTCTCCCCCCTTCCTATTTCTATCCTTTTCTTCCCCTTCTCTGCTCCTTGCTTGCCACAGCACTAACACAGAGTCCTGAATTCTTTTGCTCAGTTTTTCTAAAAGCATCTGTGGTAGTCATTTTAGTCTCTCTTACTAAACAAAAAATAAGTAAATAAAATTAGGACTTAGCTCCTTACCTAACTTTGCTAAGTAATAATCATTTCTGTCTGACTCTAAGATGGAACTGCTCATTTTAGAACAACCAATCCTGTAATAAAAATGATCTAAGTAGTACATGCATGCTACACAAGTCTCACTCCGGCGATTATAGGATGATTCTACCCCAGACTGCATGCATTTTAGTGACTGGCAACATAACCTAGGCCCTGTGAAATTTGAACTCTTGTGGGAGAGGTAAACTCACCAAGTGTAGATGATCTGTCCTCGGGAATAAGTGTAGAGGATAATGTAGCAGTCACCGCCATAGAATTCACCATAAGAATTTTGGTCAATTTGGACCCTACCATTGTTTTCCACACGCCAAATCTGAAAGAAATAGAGCAGACATGCAATATTAACATTTCCTTACCAGAATACTACTTCTCATAGGCCTAACAACTTTTAGTGTAGATGTATGCTTAAACAACTGCCAAGTAATTTTTGGAACTTGTTTGCAAATCAAGTAAAGGAAGAAGATTGACCAATCTGACAACTTGTTGACTTCTTAAGTGCCTCTGTTTTTTGGTTTTGGTTTTGGTTCATTTCCTTCTCCATTATTTACCTCAGTTCTGTGTTGATAAATAAATATCTATGATTTGATCAGCTGGCAAAGAAAGCATGACATTCTGGTGACATAAAAGACTGCAGGGCTGGGAAGATGGCTCAGTGGTAGAGTGCTTGCCTTGCATGCATGAGGCCCTGGGTTTGATTCCTCAGCACCACATAAGCAGAAAAAGCCAGAAGTGGTGCTATGGCTCAAGTGGTAGAGAGTGCTAGCCTTGAGCTGAAGAGCTGAGGGTCAGCGCTCAGGCGAAGGAAGGAAGGAAGGAAGGAAGGAAGGAAGGAAGGGAGGAAGGGAGGAAGGGAGGAAGGGAGGAAGGAAGGAAGGAAAGAAGGAAGGAAGGAAGGAAGGAAGGAAGGAAGGAAGGAAGGAAGGAAGGAAGGAAGGAAGGAAGGGAGAAAGAAAGAAAGAGAGAGAGAAAGAAAGAGAGAAAGAAAGTGCAATATTTAGTGCAGAAATATATGTTTGTATGTAAAATAGTTGCATCACTTGTGTAATTTTTTTCTTCTCTGTGCTTTAAGACATGAGAGGCTGTTTTTCTAAGATGAGGAGCTGATAGATCTTGACAATAATAGCATAGCACCCAAGGAACTCAGTGTTTGTGTCCTGCTCATGACTCATGTTGAATCCAAATTCCCAATGTGATTTCTCAGAGGTGGGGGGCCTTTGAGAGGAGAGTAAGCCATAAGGATGAATATAGACCTCTGATTCCTTATAAAAAGAGATCCTAGAGCGCTATCTAACCCCCCCCCCCACCCTAGGAGAATAGGAGCTAAAAACAACTGCCTGTGAACCAAGAAAAGACGCCAAGAAAATACTGAATCCAAAATGCTTGTTGTTTAAGCCCCCAGTGTTGATTATTTTTGTTATAGCAGCCAGAGACAGATGTTAACAGCCTGACTACTGCTCTCAAAAGGAGCCATCTAGGTATAAACCTGAAAAGCAATGATGAGATTAAAAACAGCCACGCCATCTCTCCTGCTACTTCCCTCCTTATCTTTATCACTGACTGAAAACGGAGAGATGAGAGTTGTAGATCAAAGAAGAGAGTGACCCGTGGTAAAAACCCTGTTGAACTCAGGTCCTGGGAGGAGCTGGGCATCACTCAGCCACGAGATACACAGTGGGCACTGGGAAGAGCGCAGTGTTTTCTTGAAAGGAGTCTGAAGCCCAGCCTCATCAAGCCTAAGAACCGAAAGATAGCCACTGGGTATCAGCAGTGCCACAGGAGGACATTCTAAGAAGCTGTGGCCTGAGATGGAAATGGCGCCTGAGACCGGGCTAAGGCTGGTGTAGCAAGTTCCCACCAGCCATGTTGCTTATGCTGCGCTTCAGAGGGGCCATTGTCTGAGCAGGAGACAGCCCAAGCCCCACAAGCTAGCGCCCCTTTCATGAAGCCATGAGGGTCATCTGCAGTCTTCTCCCTTACCCTCTCCCACTCCCCTGCCCTGTGTAACTTAGATTCACTCTTGATTTCCTGGAAAACATGAAGAATTAGACTCCAAATTTCCGTACTAGATGGTTTGGTGCCAGCCTTGTAGTTGAACCCTATGAATGCAGGCCTGAAATAGCTCATGCTTGTCCTGGAGGGACTTGTCAGTGGTCTGGGAGCAATCTGTAAGTCAATCAACAAATCTGTGGCACTTCTGAGGGAAAACAGGTGATAATTGTCACTTGGGAGTTGAGCACTGAGGAAAGTCAAGGGAAGGCTTCTCAGAAAAGGAGCAGCGTGTGATTTAGACTGAGTTGCAGAGGAAAGAAGGGATGAATGTCAGTCAGATGGTGGAGGGAGGCGTGGGGAACCTTAGTCAGATGGTGAGGGGAGGAGTCAGCCCTCAAGGCTCTGGGTGAAGCAAGAAGAGAGCAAGAGTCGGTCACTAAGGTCCAGTCAACAATGGATGTCTTTAGGAAGACTGGAGAGCCATGAAAGTATTTTGGAAAGGAAATGACATCCTCCAGTTCTGGTTAAGTTAGACCATCGAAGTGCGGACTGAGTATGAAAAGATAAAAGTTATGATGATTAGGACTATGTTAATCTCAAATCATCAACAAACTGAATTCAAATGCTCTAAACACACCTGGTTTTAACCCATGCACATGCTCAGTTTACTTTCACGGATGCGTGCAGTGTGTGGAGGAAAAGAAAAAAATGATGCTAATTGGTACATTCATAGCAACAGCTTCATTAGACAACCCCAGATTCAGGCTGCTGGGAGAATGAGCTATTGTAGACCAGGAGCCAAGATGGCTCCATGCCATGTCTCCAATAATGAAGGGATCTTGCACAGAGCACCTCCCTTCTCAGGATCTAGATGTGCAGGGTATAAAGTGGGTAGCTATGATCAGACAGCATCTCACCCAGCTTTACCTTCCACGACTTAATAATATACAACTTGGGACCATCTTCATTGCTAAGTAAAAGTCATCCTTTGGAATATTTGCTATTTCCCTAAGTTATATTCCCACCCATCCTGGCATAAATGAGCTCCATAAAAAAAAAAAAAAAAAACAGGCATGTCAAATACCTCCACTTTGCCTGAACCGTCATCCACCATGCTATGCTTGGCTGCCATCTGCGGGGACGTGTGCAATTTTGAGGCATCGAATGAAATCTGTCGTATTTGAGCCACTTTCTCGGTGACATAAACTTTCCCGAATCCTTCACTCTGATCTTTATCTTTCCAATCCCGAAAGAACTGTTTGAACATGGGTGTTTCACCTCCTTCTGGAAGAACCTGAATCTGAAATATTAAATCATAATAAATAGGATAATAAGAGGATCCAGGAAAGACATTAGTAGTGGAGAAAGAACTAAAGACATGAAAATATTGCCCTCGCTTTTCTGTGATTACAAATGTAAATTTAGCAGCAAGTAAAGATAAATAACCCACTTAGGCTTTTGTCACAACTAAAGCAGCCACCACTGACCATGAAATGTCAGAGAATATGTTCCTTTCATATGTTACCCCTGTAGACAAATAAGTTTGTCTACACTGAATTCATCAGACACCTGTGAGTTGGAAAGAATTACTTCATTATGGTGCTCTTTGTGGAAGGACAGGAGAAAATGAAGATAGTAAATGAAGGTGAGAGTTTCAAAAAGGAAAAAAAAGTAATTAGCCAGTGTCTTAATGATCTCAATGAAGACAAATATTATCTGGGAATTAGCCAGCTAACATCACACAACTTACTCTAAGGAATATATGGTTCAATCAACTGTGGTTTGGTATCTTGAAGAAATGGCTGCAGAAGAAATGGGCTCTGACTGACCATGCAGCCTTATAGAAGGTCTGATCTCCAGACAAATGAGCTAGGATTGTGCATGCTCATATGGAGAGTAACCACACATACACACACACACACACACACACACACACACACACACAGATTGTATTGGAGCAAACTTTTCATGAGTTCTATGAAGATGCCATGATTCCCGTGTGTGTGTGTGTGTGTGTGTGTGTGTGTGTGTGTGTGTGTGTGTGTGTGTTAGCCCATTCATTTTCGTACATACTTGGGTATGGGTGGAATAGTTCATTTGCTGTAGAAAGTCTTCTGCTGTCTTCATTGCAGCCTTCCTCTCCTGGGGATTAGCATCTTTACCTAAAAGTTAAAGATACACAAACTTTCAGAGAGAGAAGCCATATGATGAAATATTTGAGCTGAGCCCCAGCATCTCACATTTGTCATCTTGCCACTCAGGAGGCCAAGATCTGAGGATCAATATTCAAAGCCAACCCAGGCAGAAAAGTTTACAAGATCTCATCTTTTATTAATCAGCAAAATGCTGGACTGGAGACGTGGCTTAAGTGCAGAGTGCCAGCCATGTGCAAGAAAAGGGGGAGCTCAAGGCTCTGAGTTCAAGCCCCAGTACCAGCAAAACAAAACAAATATATGCACTCCAAAAAGGAAACAGGATCATAATTTAAATATAGCAACATAAAAATGGAAAATATTACTAATAAATTAAGTGTGATAAATAACAATAATGGACAGTAGTCTTTGATATTGCCCAAATACTTTCTTTATGTCTATAGTCTCTGGTAAATGATGCAAATAAGAAGAATATGGTTGCATTTTTAGGCGAGATATTTATAGATCATATCTTAAAAATTAGGCTTTTCTTTTAAATAAAAATAAACACTCTCTTTACCCTACCAAGAAATACCCACCAATCTGAAATGCAGCAACAATATCAATGACATCATTTACCTTTCCATACAAAAATTTGTTTTGCAGCACCATGGTCCAAAATAAAGCATTCTTCAGAAAGCAGCATAGCCATGGAGAAGGGGTTTTCCTCAGCCACCACTGTCACGCTCATGGATCCACTTGCATCTGAAACCTAACAAAATCCGTGAGCTATATCATTGCGCTTTGGGAACAGTAGATGTTCTAAAATTACACTGTGGAGATTACTACCCAATTCTATAATGGTATTCATTGCAATCTAAGTCCAAGAATGTGATTTTTATAATATATACCCATACCTCAACAACACAATTTTAAAGCAAACAGACAAAGCATCCATGAGCCAAGCTCATTCACCTTTGGGGGGAAATGAACTATTAACTAAAATGTAATTAACATTGTTATTAAAATATCTGAAAATAGGGGCTGGGAAAGGTGGCTCAGTGGTAGAGCGCTTGCCTTGCATGCCTGAGGCCCTGGGTTCGATTCCTCAGCACCACATAAGCAAAAAGAAAAAAGCTGGAAGTGGCGCTGTGGCTCAAGGGGTAGAGCGCTAGCCTTGTGCTGAAGAGCTGAGGGACAGCGCCCAGGCACAGAATTCAGACCCCACGACCGGACCCCAAAAAAAAATTTGAAAATAATGGCCCTAATTACAAGGCTTACAGTTTGGTGAGGTGCTCACACATGGTGAGTTTCACCTCATCATTTCTGCTAAAGTTGAGAGCAACTTTGACGATGGGTGATAACAGCACATCCATGTATACACAAAATCTGGAGTGTGACTATTCACCCAGATAATTGTTCCAGATAAACCTCTTGTGTGACAGGCACTATAGGAAGGAAGACATTGGTATTGTATTTTATGCTTATAGGTATTTTTCAATGTTGGCCTTGTAACTTAACTCTATATGGTGAAACTTATCAAAGTAAATTTCTTGGTCACATTTGGAAGAACCTTTAAAAAAATTTCAGGTGATCTAAACAAAGTTGAAAGGGATATTTGTTTGCCAACTAAAATACATTGATTTTCAAAAGTCAGCTTGTCGGTTAACATGTTGGCTGAGCACTTGATTCTAGGACTTTCCTAAATCATGATGGAGGTTTTCAGCACAATGACAAGTTACGCATTAAAAAACAAGAAAACAAAAAGCACCCTGGTGATTCTTCAAATCTTTTTTCATTACCTTTAAATAGTTCTACAAAGGAGTGTCAATTCAACATATCAGTTTATGAGTATATTCCATCACTCCTCCATCATTCTTTGAGTCTTTTATTTTTTGTTAAGGCCTGGAAGGTACATTTTAATTTTTAAAAAGAATTAACATTTTCTTGAGGGTTGATACCCTTTTAGAGCATTCTAAAAATCTGAAGGACAGGAGAAGGGAAAAAATAATTTGTTTAAATAGGGATACAGGTGGATCCATTGCAACAATGAGATGTACAAGTCGTTATGTGGAAAAACAAACTTTTACAACTTTGGTGGGGGAGGGGTTGGGAGGGGTGCGGTAGGGTGGGAAGGGATGGGAAGGGGAAACAAAGGAGGAGGCTACAATGCTTGATAAGAAATGTATTTGAGTCTTTTTTTAACCCTCAAATTACCTTGAAACATTTTCTATTTTAGACTGGGCAATATGTTATAGTTCCACTAGAGGGAGCCAAAATTCAGGATTAACACTTTCCCATTCCAAAGTATTTCTTTAATCCAAAACAGTTTTGATTGATGATTTGAAGTAAACAATATTTTAGGCTGTTTTAGAGATAATAATAAAACCACAAGATACTTAAATAAAACTATATATTTCATGTATATTTCATGTTAAAATTATCAGTATTTACCGGAAAAGACAGCCATGTTTTCCTTTGCAATCTAGGAAGAAAAGAACACTTCCCCATTTATAAATGGGAAGTTAGGTTACACAAGTTTCTATTTCTAACTCAAGCTTCATTTAAAACTATAAGGGTGTCGGTTATAAAGCCTCTGAAAGAGCAACAAATACCATCTGCTCCCAATCACTTGCTTACAAAGTTGTAAGGGAGGAACAATTGAAGAATTCCATTCTAGCAGTCTCCTTAACTTGCATACCTTGTGGGTTTTGTTACCCTTACCAGCAATTAAAAATAAAATCCTAAGCTGGGCAATGGTGGCTCATGCCTGTAATCCTAGCTACTCAGGAGAATGAGATCTCAGAATCATGATGGGAAGCCAGCCTGGGCAAGAAGTCTTTGAGACTCTTATCTCCAATTAACCACCAGAAAACCAGAACTGGAGCTATGGCTCAAAGTGGTAGAGCACTAGTCTTGAGCAGAAAAGTTCAAGCTTGAGGACCAGCACTAAGAACATTTAAATAAAATAATAAAATCATATAGTTGGAGAAACCTTATTCAGTTCTGTCTCTTTCTAACACTCTCTCTTTCCTCCCTTCTTCCATTTCCCTCTCTCTTCCTTCCCCTCCCTTCCTCTCTGTCTGTGTCTGTCTCCCTCTCTCCTACTTTTCCTCTCTCCCTCTCTCTTTTTTTCCCTCCTTCCCTCTCTAGTCATGGTCATGGCCTGTCAACTTCACAAGGCCAGTCCAGACCATATTGCTACACACGGACACACAGACTGGTTTTACCTTGCTTTACCCTGATTGGTATGAGAGCTTACCACACTGTCACACATACACACACACACACACACACACACACACACACACACACACACACACACACACACACAATGCCTTTATTTTGGCAAAGGAAATATTTTAAAGAAGGCAAAGATTGTTATCATCATAACAAGAAATTACAAGAAAAAGCTTACGTTTTATACTGTTTGTTCACTACAATAGATCAAAACACATTATTGCCAACTAGTAGAGTTAACAGTACATAGTTGTATGTAAGTCATGTCCATAACTTCATTTAGCTCTTTTGAATGAGATAACAAAAAATGTTTTTAATCAATTCAGAAGAACAAAGAAATGGATTCTACCTGCACACTTCTCTATTATGCACTAACGAGAGCTATGCACCACAGCAAAGGCCATCCTTCCAATATAGCCTCCCGGACCACAGCCTATCCTGCAGAAATGCCCCAAGCCCTTCGTAGCCCACTTACCATGTACAGCTTTGCCATCTTCCTGTTCGTTATATCTGCTATGGTATCATCATCACTGTCTCCATCTGGAAGCTGTGGCTTTCTCCCTAAAACCTGGGCAGGGGGGAGGGGGTTAGGATGGTGGAAGCAAGTGTCAAAAATGTCCTGTCCTTAAAGGATAAAGAACTTTTAACAAATAGTAAACCATTTTACATTTATATGGCCACCAATTATAAGACACAATTAAAACTGCAAGGCTCTTTCTTATTAATAGGTGGGCCTTTACCCATGCATCACATCAGCCAATGGCAAAGCTGATGGCATTACCAATGGCACCAGCTCTGCCGTCCCCGTGAATTTTCAAGAAGGCCAGACCCCAAATGTGGAACTTTAGGCATCCATCTTTTTCTTTAAGATACAAGGAATTAATTTAAATGAGTCATTTGGATCAACAACACCATTATTTCATCTGTGTCCTCTGGTTCTAGAATTAATCCATAGTTTTCAATCAATCAGTATCACAAAGACTTGGACTAAAATGACTATTTTGAGGACAAAACATTATCATTATAGAATAGATGAAGTACAAGTTGTTGTTTTTTTTTCACAAATAGGCCTATTGTCACTATTAAAACTCTGAATGTTAAATGGATTCTTGGACTGGTGGTTCAGATCCATCAATTCACTCAACTTTAGCACCAGTCTCGTCCCCAGTAGCTTTCCCCGAACTGCCCCCTTCACCATGAAGCTCCATGAGTTCTCCCAATTCCAACTGGGGCTTCATCAGCATTTTTACTTTTCCAACAAAGACATCATGAAGTGGATAAATAGACTGGTAAGCTTTGTCTATGTCTTTCCCAAGGCTGACTGGAATCAGTTTGTCTGCACTTCTCAGATCATGATTTCCATCATCTTCTGGATCAAGCAGATCGGCTGATGCTGAGCCTAGGAAGTCTTGCAGGTCTGACGGTTATGTTTTTTAGTAAAACCAACACAGAACAGACAAAGCAAATAACCTTCGATAGTCTTGACATCAGCATGAGCTTCAATCGTGGTCTGCCACTTTTTGACCATGGAGCACATTTTGCTCAGTAATATTGATGCCATGGAAGTTGGTTAGGCAGCTCTTTTTCTCTGAACATCCTCAGTTATTAGCTTGAATTTTTTTTTAATGCGACTTCATCATTCTGCAGATCAGCGTCAGATACCCAACCCTTGAGGCCATCAAATGTGATATTGGGTCCTTGAGTCCTCGTGACTAGTGTTTTCCTAATATATCTCGTATTGAATATGGTCAGTGCTTCTTTCTTAGAAAATGGACCCATCTTCTTAGCTCCCTTTTGTAAGGCACTTGTTCTTGCCAACCACTATGGTGATGGTCAGAGAGCCAAAAGGAGAAGTACAAGTTTTTAATGATCATAAGCATGTTTGCTTTCCTGCTGCGTCTTCGGCACTTAGAGCAAGGCATTCGACAAGGTAACTGCTCTACAAGTATTTGTCAAATGAATGAATGAAGTTATCTATTTTGCGCATGTGTGATGAGACCCAAAAACTTCAAATACATTGTTTAGTAGAAAGTACATTTGAATATACTTTTGAACTTTTTATATTAAAATCATAAAACTTCTGTAAGTAGTTCAGCTAATTTATTAAGCTAAATGACACAACTCTCACAGAATACTAAGGATGAAAGTATAAGGTTAACAGTGTAATTAATGTGATTGTTTGTGGTGATGGTACGAGGGTTTGAATTCAGGATCTCATCCTTGCAAAGCAGATGCTCTACCACATGAGCTGCTCCGCCACCCCCTTTTAGTGTTACTTATTTTCAAGAGAGGGTCTTGCTTCATGCCTGGTCCAGCCTGGACTACAGTCCTCCTATATGTGTGTTCCTGTTTTGCAGGGATGACAGAATGTCACTGCACACAAACATTTAAAGATGGAGGTTCATGAGCTTTTTATGCCCAAGTTGGTTTTAGACCTCTTTCCTTTAGTCCTTTCTAATGGCTAGGATTATAGGCTTGCGCCATTATATCTGAACAATAATGTGATTTTTATAAAAATATAAATTCAACTAGAGAATAAAAGGAGAAAGGTATTTCTTGAGATCCAATGAATATTTAAGAACAGTGAACTCCTTGCAGAATCTTTTTTTATATTCCAATGTCCTGAATATGGTGCTGAATATTAAACAATAATAAACCTCATAAACATACATAATCTAATCCTTTTGTGGGTACATGTTCAGTCTGAAGTTTGGAAATGCACAAGAAAACTTATTCTTAGAACTTGCTTGCTGGTCCCTCCCCCACAATATAACCCCTGCTTTCACTGTATTTGATGTCAGTATAATTTGTTGAGGGGAAGGGGAAAAACAAATCGTTTAAATAGGGATACAGGTGGACCCATTGCAACAATGAGATGTATAAGTCGTTATGTTGAAAACGAACTTTACAACTTTGGAGGCGGGGAAAGGATTGGGTGGGGGGGCGGGGGGAGGATGGGAAGGGATGGGAAGGGGAAACAAAGGAGGAGGCTACAATGCTTGATAAGAAATGTACTCATTATCTTGCCCATGTAATTGTAACCCCTCTGTACAGTATTTTCACAATAAAAATAAAAAATAAAAAAAAGAACTTGCTTGCTGGGACATCATTTTTGTTTACATGGTGATCAAGAAAATCTCATAATTATCATACATGATTAGTGATTGTAAGGTTTTTCCTTTTGGCTAAAAGTAGGATCATACCAAAAATGAAAATACTTGAAATCAAAAAGCTTTTTTCTTTTCTCTTCCTTCTTTTTCTTCTTTATTTCTTCCCTCTTCCTTCCTTCCTCTCTTTCTTTTTCTTTTTTGTGCAGGTCTTGGGGCTTGAATTCAGGGCTTGGGTGTTGTCTCTGAGCTTCTCTGCTCAAAGATAGCCCTCTACCACCTAAGTCATGGCTCCATTTCCAGAGCTGTCTCATGGGCTTTCCTGCCCATGAAACATTAGAACTGCAATCCCATATCTTAGCCTCCTGAGAAGGATTACAAACCCAAGCCACCAGCACCTGGCCTTTTCCCCCCTGAGTTTTGTAATTGGTAGGTGTATGTATGTCTTTATAAGAGCCACCAAAAAAAATTCCATATATATCCTTTTGTACTCTGCTCCAACCAAGACAGTCATTTGGATTAAAGGTTTCAGGTTAAGGGCATACCTAGTAGTAGATATCTCCCAGTGGACCAATCAAGTGTGGGACTTGGGGCACCTCTAACTTTTAATTTTCTGACAATTCTCACATTAGCCAGATATCTTAATTAGTCTCCCAATGGACTATAGCACAGATGGGAATTGAACCAAACCAATAAACTTTGCTTATTGAAAACAGGCTTAAACCCACAGTAGAAAAAAGCTAGTGTGTTGTCTTATATCTCTAAGGATCATTTTAAAATTCAGTTCAACAACTAAGCATTTACCAAGTACCTCACTGGGGAATATAAATGTGTTTCTGACTACCCTCCCCAACCCTTAAGGATTTCATACGCTTACTTAAAAGAATAATTGTGGGGCTGGGAAGGTGGCTCAGTGGTAGAGCACTTGCCTTGCATGCATGAGGCCCTGGGTTCGATTCCTCAGCACCACATAAGCAAAAAAAAAAAAAAAGCTGTGGCGCTGTGGCTCTAGTGGTAGAGTGCTAGCCTTGAGCTGAAGAGCTGAGGGATAGTGCCCAGGCCTAGAGTTCAGGCCCCACGACCAGACCCCCCCCCCAAAAAAAAGAATAATTGTATTCATTTTATCAACATTTTGATCTTTTAAGTAGATTATTGATATAGTTCTTTTACTTTACAGGTAAGGTTCATGCCTAAATTTGAAACATTTTTATTTTAGGTTGCCCATCTGATTAACATTTCCTTCTTGTAATCCTTGTGTATGATATTTGTCAGAAATGACAAATATTTTCACAACGTAAAAAGATATGAAAACAAAACAGCTTTATTTCGAGTGTTCATAAAAATTTCATCAATTGTTCCATCCAAGACCTGTTATTTAAGCCTTTAATTGTTTACTGTAATTTTCTATTTAAAGGTATCACATCTTTTAACATGTTCAAACTCAAACTTCTTTTTCTTCCTTTTGTGCTAGTATTGGGACTTGAACTCTTGCTTGGCTTTTCAGCGCAAAGCTGACACTCTACCACTTGAACCACATTTCCACTTTCAACATTTTGCTGGTTAGTTTGAGATAGATATGAGTCTCACAGACTTTCCCGTGTAAGATGGCTTTGAACCTTTATCTCCTCATACCTCAGCCCCCGGAGTAACTAGGATTATCGCCCTGAGCCACCAGTGCCCCAAGCCAAACTTACTTTCTACAAAACTGGCCATTCTCAATTTTCTAATTGTGTCAATATACTATTTCCCTATTTACCCGGACTTACATCAGTTTTGAATACTTCTTCTCACTTCAAATATCCTATCCACATATTCATTCATCTCTACTTTTTATGATATTGGCTTGAGCCTCAGATTCTTGTCCCATTCATCATGCAGACCTTAGTGAAGATCCTGCATCTCCTGCCATGGGTTCTAATTTCTCCTGTCCTAATTTCTCTGCTGCCTTCAATCCCACCTCATCTTTACATGCTAGAATGTGTCTGCCCCTTGGCTGGAAGGCCCTTAATTCACGTTGCTCCTATATTTAAGAATATGACTCTAGACCAAGGAAATCCTACCAGTACAATAATGTGCATGCACCTAGAGGAAGTTATGCTCAGAGAAATAAATCAGACACAGAAAAGTACTAAATGATATCACTCATGTGGAATCTACCATGGTTGAGCTCATAGGAACAAGGAGCAGAGAGAGGTACCCAGGGACTGGGACCTATTGGAAATGAGATGCTGGTCAGAGTTCAATGCTTCAGCTATAAGATGAATATGTTCCAGAAACTTACTAAACACATTGTAAATATAGCAATAATACTGTATTATAGACTTGAAACTTAAGAGATGAAACTTAATTCACAGCACATACACATAGATACAGCACCTAAGTGGAGTGATAGACACCTTACTTAACTTGATAGCAAAAACCATGTCATAATATATATGGCTATGCCAGTGGTTTGTC